CCCAAAAAAAAAAAAAAAAAGAGAGAGAGAGAGAGAGAGAGAGAGAGAGAGAAAGGTGAGATAACTTGCTCAGGGAGACATATCCAGTTGGTGGCAGAACCAAGAGTGAGGCCTAGGTCCTTTGTCTCTTCCCAGGGACATCAGCGTTTTAGAGCGCACGGACACCAGCAATGTCAGCTATCGTAAGGCACTTGGGAATCCAGATGTACAGTAAGTGCCATCTACAGCTTCCCTCACAGACATATAGCTGCGGCGGTGTGAAGAAGCCCTAGAATGTTTCTGACATCGATACAGAGTTATTTGAAGGAGCCAGAACCATGACATTCTTCATCAAAGACCGGCTGGCAGAGAGTGATATTCTTTACCATCAGGGACGCTGCCACACAAATTCCTAGGGATGGAGATAGCTAGGATTGCGGCATGGATGTCTGGTGTATGTTTACAGGGAAAATGAACTTATAATTCATGTAGGAAACCCGACACATACTCCATAATAGGTACCCAAAGATTTCATCCACTGTGTGTTGGTTGAATCCAAGAAGAGGAGAAGGCAAGTGCCAAAGGGAAAACCAGCTTCGTAATGGTGAGGAGGGAGGGCCAATCAGCAAGCAAATCCCCTTACCCATTAGGGGAAAGGGAATGGAAACAAAGAGCAAAAGCATTTGGCACATTGTTAAACACTGGAAAGCTGTTGCTTTGAAATAATAACAAAACTGTGCAGTCTCATTAGATATTCTAATGGGAACACAGAAGAAATACTCACGGCCAATTTCTTCCTGTTCTTGTAATGACCAGAATCCTTTTAAAGTATTAAGTGAGGTAAGTCCTTTTCCATCACTACCAGTTCATTCATCCGTTCACTTATGTATTCACCGAGTATCCCTGAGTACATGGTCTGTGCAGAGAAGTGTTTAGTGTTGGGGAACAAAACACTGAAGACCCTGCCCTCCTAAGACTTCAAATTGAGGTCAGCGAATGAAAGGCAAACCATTCAGGTTATCAGACGGTGGCGAGGGCTGTGGTGACGAGGAGGCAGGGAGAGGGAACACGGGGAAAGAGCCGTTTTCAACAGTGTCATTGGGACGTCTCGTGGAGAAGGTGATGTTTGAGCAGAAACCTGAAGACATAAAGGACTAATCAGGGCAGGTACTCGTCGAACGCACTTGGTGTGTGCTCTAAGCCAGCTGGGAAATGTGTGGAAAGAGCAGAGTGAGAGGCAACGGAGGAGTAGGGTGGGGATAGAGGAGGACATAGGAACGACACTGAAAAGACGCGGTTCTTATTCCGAGGGACATGGCCCTACCTGCATTTTATTTATTTATTTGTTTGTTTTAGTACCGGAGATCAAACTCGGGACCTTGCACTTTCGAGGCAGGTGGCGGGACCACTGAGCTAACGCCCTCCACCCCGGGTCTCCGACCTGCATTTTAGCAGGTTGCCGGCTCTGCTGTGCTGTGAGTAAAGGTTAAGGGTGGGATTAGGGAGGCCAGTTTGGGGAAAGAATCCAGAAGCGTGCCAACGGTGGTCTAGACCAGGGCGGGGTGAAGCGGGTGGACTCGGGATGCACTGTGAAGGTGGGAGAGTAATGATTTGCGAACAGATTAGGTGCAGGGAGGCAGTGGGAAAGGTTCCTCAAGGGTGATTCCAGGATTCTTCACCTGAGCAGTAAATGGTGAGAATGCGGTTGTGGCTAACTGACACAAGGAAGGCAGTGGAGGAAAGGAAGTTTGGTTTTAACAGTGCTATGTTTGATAGAAGATGTATATAATGATACATAGGTTACATATAGGCATGTGACACATAAAATCCACGTCTCTTTATCAGCTCATCTATCTGAAGTTTCAGGGAGAGGTCCCTATTTAGAGAGGGGAGGAGCCCAGACCCTGGAACCCGGGGGCTTGAGCAGGGTGTAATCAACAAAAAGAGGCAGCACCTGAGTGCCCTGTGCAGCAGGAGCCCGGGAGCGCGTGGACCGCTGAGAGGGAGGGAACTGCTGCAAGAAGGGAGAATTCTGTCAGCTGTGTTAAAGGCCGCTGAGAAGCTGAGCAAATGAGCCCTGAAAACTGACTGTTGGAATCCATCGCGTGGAAGTCAGCAGTGAGCTTGGTGGGGAGAATTTCAGTGGACCGGGCCGGGGGGACAGCTTCAAGATTGAGGTCTAAGGGAGACAGCAAATAGAGCCAGCAAATACAGACAACTCGAGATTTGCTGCAAAGGCAGGTGTGAGAAGGGAGAAGCGTAGCAGGTGGGAGATGTCGGTCAGTGGAGGGAGTGGGCTTTTAATGTGGGTGTTTGTGTGCTAACGGCCGCTGATCTAATACAAAGGGAAACTAGCTGATGCAAGACAGAGGGGAAGAAATGCTGGAGAGATGTCACCGAGGGCCACTCCCAAGAGTGGGAATGTAGAAGCTGGCCCTGCACAGGGGCACAGGTGGTCATCTGTGACAGGAGGAGAGCTGAATATGTAGGAGGGAGATGGAATGGTGGGAGACTGCACACAATTTCTCCTTATCGCTTCCCTTTTTTTCAGTGTGATAGGAAGCAAAATCATGGGCATAAAGGGTGAGGAGGAGAGCAACGCCAGAGGTCTGGGAAAAGGTGTCTGTGGTGTGAGGATCCAGTATGAGGGATGAGGGAAGCACTGCTCAGGGCCTGGAACGTGGGGGAAGTACTCAGTGCCATCCCCTCATTGAAGGGGATTTTTTTACTGCCTTCGTGATCACTGTCCATAGCAACTTCATTTTTAAATTCGTAAATAATCTTTACTATACTACTGCATGCTCAAATCAAAAAATATGGAAAATGCATAACAGGATAAAGAAAAAAACATTCATAATCTTTCCTTAACAAAACCAGCTTTTAACAATCTGATCTCTTATCTTTCTAGCTCCCTTTTTCTATGATATGCGTTATATATATATACTTTTTATATGTTGCTTTTTTTTCACTTTGTATTGTGTTAACTATTTTCCCACGCCATTAGGTAAATAACTTTTTTAAAGGGGTTATTCTATCTTTTTAAAACCACATTGTTAGCCCTGTGAACACAAGGCCTCAACAAATTAGGTTAAGACTCAGAATTCGTCCTCTCCACAGAAATCTTTAGTAAAAGTGAAAGATTTATACGATCTGAAGATAAACCGGAGTATCAAAATATAACTTTTAATGTCAATACATTAGTCAATTACATGGTTGTTACACCATTTCTTTTATTTTATTTCTCCATTTTGGACATTAAGGTTAATTCCAGTTTTCACACTATAACTAATATAGCAATGGGCATTCTTATAGAGAAATCTTTATACCCTGATGAATTCTTTAGAATACATTCTTATATGTGGAATTTTTTTTTTGATGCCAGAGATCAAACTCAGTACCTTGTGCTTGCCGGGCAGGCGGTGGGCACCACTGAGCTAAATCCCCAGCCCAAGATGGAATTATTGATGTCAAAGGGTAGAAACATTTTTAAGGCTGTTGATAAGTATTATCAGAATGCCTTCCAGAAAGTGCTGTTAATTGACACTTCTTCCAACAGCATGTGAGAGTGTCCTGCTTGGTCATTCTTCAAACCTTCCCAAGCGGTATGGATTTATTGTTTTAATTTGCATTTCCTTGATGACTTGTGAATGTCAACTTCTTTTCATACTTTAACCTTACTTGTGCTTCTCTAGAATGCCTGTGTGCAGGAAATGAGCTGGAAGAAACCCCTTTCCTCTCAGTGGAAATGCTTTTGCTGTTGCTGGAGTCCTTGGGGCTGACTTTTCTAGATACTTCCTACTAGAGGAGCCAAGATACAGAATGTGTGTGGAGAGCTACGGATCAGATTCTTCCAGCCCAAGGATGGCACCTCCGTTTCAGGGGAACTTGGTTACCTCTGCAGGTCTTCTACTCCACCCTGGTAGACCAGATGCCCTTTACAATACCCTACAAAGGGGGACCTTTATTATATCTCTGACTTGGCACATGGGAGCTGCCAGAGGAGCGGAGCTGTGTGGACAGAGTGAGGGATGAGCTCTTGCTTCACTGCTGCACAGTGCTACAGGCTTGACCGGTTTAAAATTAAACATTCCATCCCATCCAGCTGAGAGAAGCTGTTAGCACTGGTTTTTTCAACATTTCTCCTCAAAATATCCTTAGCATCCATTTTATTTGGTTGAAACCCAGCTCGTCCATTGAGACCCACTGCACAGAAACTTCACCTAGAAAGGAAAATATTCCGGCAAATTTCTAGGAAGTAGAAAAATGTCCCTTTCAAACGGCTTATTTTTGTTACAGTTGCTTTTGTTTTCACTTTCTCATTTTACACACACACAAACACTCCTCCACCACCATCACATCCATGCCCAAACTCTCATACTACATCACGTGCACTACACATACTGCATACACATGTACACACCACCCCCAGACACATGTTCATACCGCACATCACAGACCCCATTACGCAAGGACGTACAACTCCATCTGCACAACCTAGACACACAACCCTACCATACATATCCACATAGCACACATGCTACCATCATGTCTGTCCCCATTTTCATCCCATAGTGTACACACCACACTGCACATGCACACACATGCAGCATACACACGCACATACACTCACACAAAAACCACAACTGATTTACGTAACACAATCACACCGTACATGCATACACATCCTTCGCCACCAAAACCACCCCGTACTCTCAGCCCCCGCTATGCACACACCCGCTTCTCCCTCCTTTGCCCCATCCCAGCCTCCACCCTTGAGCTTTTAAACGCATGTGTTCTCTACTTGTGTGAGGACAAAATGCATGTGTGCTGCACCAGCCACGTTTCCTGTCCTGGCAGGCACTACGGCCACTTCCACGCCTCCATTTCTGCTGGTGAGGAAAGAGGGGAAGGGGCTGAAATACTGAGGCTAAGGCTCTGGGATGGGTCAGAGGATTAGTTAGAAACGAGCAGGTCATTTGTGAGGCAGTAACTTCAGTCCAGGGCAAGCCTTGGAGTGAGACTTCCCCTGCTTCCTCACTTCCACGGCTCATGGAACTTGCAATCTGGACTAAATCAAGTCAAGGGTAGATGGTTAGGGCTAGACAATAAGAACCTTGAAGCATCCACCCTTCTGATGTTCTTCCACAGTCCTCATTTAAAGATAAAGAGATTTAGAAAACAAAGTCTCCAAGGTATGAAGGAGCTACAACCACACAGCTCTGCTAATTAGAAAGAGGAAATCTAATCAGTGCTGACCATCAGCCTTGTGCATTATCTGTGGCAAAACATTCATAGCACAGTGGTTCATCCATTTCCACCCCCCCTTTGGAGTTGCTCCCTTGCCCCCTCCTCCAAAATGTTCTCAGAGACTCAGGGATTTTTTTAAATACCTGTCTTGGAAAAGCGTCATTCAGAAAGCAAATCTTCCCTCTCAGCAGTTCAGAGCCAAAGCTGCACTACTCCCCAAGTGTCTGCGCATTGGTGTTACTCACACCACTCTGCCCTTTCCACTAGTTTGGATGACTGGAGAGTATCCCCTCTTGACTACAGGTATCGGTTGTGAGCCATTCACACTGAGTAAATTAGTTCAACCACTGGGACATTTCCAAATGGCTGTGCAGTGGGTAGGTAGCAGCAGCTAAGACCTTGGGCTCTGGATTCAAATAGTCTGAAGTTTGGATCCTGGCAACACTCCTGGACCTTAGACCCTGAGTCTGAGGTCTGTCATGTGTGAAATGGATAATAAGAGGAGTCACTTCACAGAGTAGGTAAAAAGCATTAAACGAACCAATGCGCAGAGTCTGGCAAGTCTGCCATAAATGACAGCTGCTATTATTATGAATGTGATCTAAATCTGTGGCCCTGAAATACCTGACAGGTTGGCTTATCACTGTAGACTTTTTTTGAAAAAATTTTGCCCTTCTAGTGCCCTGCAAGAGAAATAAGAAGAGAGTAGGACTTTAGCAGAATATCTTCAAAAAGATGAGTTGTCATTTCAGTTGTAGGGAGAAATCAGCAAGATGTCCCAATGTTTCAGTCTACCTGTTCTCGGCCTTAGGGGCACAAGTCACTGTAGTGAGCGACCATGTGGTAATCATGTCCCTCCCCTAAAGAAACCCTTTTGTCTGTTTCATATTGTCCACCTGTTTGGAAAAAAAAAAATCTCCCTTTTCCTTTATGCTAAATTGGCAAGTCATGATTACAGCAATAATACCTGTTATTACCAGCTGATCTCTCTTTCAATAGTAAATTATTATTATGTAGTTGGCTAAAAGGGCCTATGCTGTTGTAATTTGTAAAGGACCTTATTAAGCAGAACAATACTATTTCAAGTAATAATAAAGATACCTTGCATTTCTACGGTGCATTTACTTTTCGAGTGCATAGTATGTCAGCAGGCTGATCTCCGACCTCTCTTGGCCACGAAATCCTGGCATCGTGCCTTTTATTCTGCTTGGAACTAAGTTTTCGGATCACCTATCCCTTTCGAAATCTGTGCAGCACATCCTTTGGCTCCAGTGACAGCTGCACCAGGCCAAGCCAGACGAGGATAGGGTGAGGTAGGGCTGTTTTACTGCAAACATGGACCTCCGACCCTCAAGACTCAGCTTCTTTATTACAGCCATTTATTATTTACAAAGCACGGCAGGTGTACACAGCACTACATGAGACACAGAGACAAGGTCCCTGCCCTGTGGACCGATAGGCCTTTCCCAGTGTTTCAGCTGTCTGTGCTGAGCTGTAGGGATGCTAGGCAAAGGTGGCTGAAGACCCGAGAGCGGTGTCAGGGGTGTCACAGTGGAAGAAAAGATTTCCGATGGGGAATTTCAAGGGAGGAAAATCAAAGCAGGTGAAGGCAATGTGAATGGTTCGGGTTTCAACAGCCATGCGCCTTGGAACCCTCAGGGAGGAATAAGAAGATGACAAATGCTGCGATGGTCCTGGGAGCATCTAACACCTGTGTGCACCTCCTGCTTCCTGACTCTCTTGAAAGTTGTTTGGGGGAGCGACAGAGGCAGGGCGAAACCTTAGCCAATTTTTATATTCACTGTGTAGGTTTAAGAGTATTCGTTTTCCTTCTCAAGAAAGGTGAATCTTGGACCGTTTGGACTATATTCCTGAGCCGCTCCCTACCGCTAATCAGTTACTCTTCCGTCTGCATTCATCTCAGCCCAGCCAGCCTAATGCCAGCCCGTGTGTTCATACACAGGCCCTGCCTCAAAAGACAAGCAAGACCCCATCACTGGGCCCCAGAAGCAATAAATGGATGGGAGTGAGGATATGAAAAGGCAGTGTGCGTGGAGCCCAAACTGCCCTCTTCTGCAGGACACAGAGGGGTTGGTAAAATGAGCACACGTTCCCACAGGGCTCCCATGCATTTGTTTGGAACATTTCTGGGTTCCCACTCTCCGGAACAAAGGCTCAAATTCTAGGAAGGCTCAGAAATCCAGCCTTGCCCTAGGCTCAGGGAAAAGTGATCATGTCCTTGGCATGGGATTCTTCCTGCTCAGAGCTTAGGGCTTCGTCCAACACCAGGGAAGCTTCGAAGCCAGAAACAGATATAAATTTGGCCAAGCAGCACTAGTGAAAGTAGATTCTGTAATGTGCCGAATATGCACCAGATGGCTCTGCTTCCTACCAGCCCAGACGGCCGGTTAGCAAAACCTACTGGCCTCTGTCACCCTCACCAACGCCGTCACCATCGTCATCTCATTTAAAGCCCTCCGGTACCTGGTGTCACAGAGCACCCTGAGTCTGATTCTGGCTGAGCACATCTCCTGCCTCCCTTCCTACCCTGTGCCTCCTCAGCCCCCACATCCCAGGCCTGTCTGTGCTCTGGGTGGTGGTTCCCTCCACAGGCTTCCTCTCCCCTTACCTTACTCGGTTTCCTACCCAGTTCTATCTCTAGATCCCTTGCTTCTTTTCAAGCCAGTCCACCAGGTGTGGCCCACACACCTCTTGCATCAGAATCCTCTGGGCAGTGTGTTCACATGTGCAGATTTCTGGGAATTCACTTGCCCTCCAGGCTAATTCAGAGTACCTAATGGTGTTCTGTGGGCATTTGCATTTTAACTAGTTCCCTGCCCCAGAACTTGAAATAATGCTGCTTTACATTATTTTTGTTCCCAAGAGCTGCAAGATTTAGCCTTGCAGCTTTCCAGTGTGGAGA